CTTCCTGCCAATAGTGTCCTATCAGCAAGGGGTCCTGTCTGCCACCATCCTGTATGAGATCCTGCTGGGGAAGGCCACCCTGTATGCAGTGCTGGTCAGCGCCCTGGTGCTGATGGCCATGGTAAGGGGACAGGAGGACGGCAGGGTGGGCAGATGTGTTGGAGGGAAAGAATAGAACATCATATGTGGGCTGTGAGGGGGTTTCAGAGGCTGACCTCAGCCTTCATATATCCTTCCACCTCAGGGAACTAGTAATGGGACTACAGAGGCCCCAAGTCGGCCTCATCTGACCCACTCCTACTGTTCATGGCTCCTGGGACACTGACAATGTCCTCGCTTCCACAGGTCAAGAAAAAGGATTCCTAAGGCGAGCTCCAACAGTGCATCCTGAGTTGTTCCACATCCTCCTGTATGGCTTCCAACCTGCACTCCTAAAGAGGTCTTCTCTCTCCCCCTCTTACCTCCTTCCTACACTGACATTTGTCCCTTCTCTCCACTGCCCTGAGGACTGCGCTCCTCAAGCCTGAATCTGAAATAGACTAAAACAATAAAGTTGTCATGCTGGACCGGCTTGGGGCTCAGGACATCTGTGGACGTCTGCCCTTCGACAACCTACCTCTGGTTTGGGGAAAGCACCAACCCTCAGGCATGCGCAGTGACTGACCTTCCACCCTGACAAGTGACATTGTCCATACCTCAGTGTTCTGGGCCCCTAGTGTGCAGATGGGCTCTTGCAAACCTGCACAAGGACGAGCATAGGTGCACCATAACCCCCACCTCAGCACGGGGCAGAGAACAGGACAGACCTGTGCGTTAGAATGCCTGCTCACGTCTCAATTTCAGATTCAAGTTTCATTTAGTATGCATTTAGGTTTTATCTGTGTTTGGTCTTAACACCTCCATCTTACCTTATTTTGGGATTTCCGCATAAGGTTTATGCATGTGCAGATTAGAATCCTAAAGAAGGTACAGAGTTGAAAATACTGAGGTGAGAAGCCTGGAGACTTCCCAGAGGCAGGGCATATGGGGTCCGGCGCTGGGAGAGGCATGGAGACGGAAGCAGGGTCCAGCTGGGGCTGCGGTAGCCCTTCCGACCGGCACCTTTACTTGATGGGATGGAGACCAGGCCACCCCAAGTGCAGCATGTTGAATATGTTCACTTGGGCAGACCCAGGTGTCTTACTCAGGTAGACTCTGCATTTACTGTGATAAAACAGTGCCCTAGGGGAGGGGAGGGAGGCAATTAGAGGAAAGAAGGCATAGATGGAGGGAGAGGCCATGTGCAAGTTACTTGAGGCAAAATGTCAGGGGTGAGAAGGGAAGTCTGAAAGCTGAGAAAGCTTGAGGAAGACGGAGTCCTTTGCTGATGGTCTGCTTTGTCCCAGACTTGGGGCTGGGCACTGGCACACCTGAGTATCCAGGAAGTGAGGGGTTTCTCTGGACCAGCGCATGCGGGCCAGGAAAGGATATGGCCCAGGGCAGGGGTGGCCTAGGAAATTATCATATGCCCGCAACCTCCTGTTAGTCATAATTATCTCTAGATTTCTTTAACTGCGGTACAATTTTTTATTTGTTATTTCTGTTGCTTATCTGTTTTTGTAAGGGCTAAACAAAGGAGACAGAGTTTAGGCCCTAGACCAGCACCCACAAAGGCAGCGGCTCACCTTCTTTACATATGTGTGGTGGTTTCTCATAAGATTAGGATGGGAGGAGGAGCAGCTGAAGGGACAGTAAATGCCTCAGAGAGAATAGGGTGTTGGGTGGGCCAGAGGGAGTGAACTGGGACAGGGATGTTGGGGGATGGGGAGTTTGGGGACAGGATGTTGAGGGATGGGTTTTGTGCCAGCAGAGCAGTGTGAGGAGGAGGCTGAGTAGAAGTAGGGCAGAGATCAAGGTGGGGGTGGGGAGAGGAGGGTTACCCTCACAGGAGAGAAAGGGGGTCTGTGGGCTTGGTGATTGCTATCTTTGGGGTGCTAAAAGCAGAGGCATTCGCAGGTGGGAGGATGTGGGAGAAGTTGCTGGTTGGCACCTGGTGTTTGCCAAGGTGAGGAAGGAAGGAATGTCCTCTGGGGGACAAATGACTCGATGCAGGAGACATGATAGAGATGGAGAACCTGGCAAACTCCATCTGCTCCCCACCCAACACCCCACTTGACCTAGGGAGGGTCCCTCTTCCCAAATCTTTACAGCCATTTCCTCGTCTCTCAGACAATACTACCCTCAACGTTCAATTCACAGGCACTGGGAAATTAATCTTTGCTTCCTCTGCCTCTGTCCCTAGAATCTAAGTGGATCCTTTTGGACCCATTCTGGGCGTCCCATCCATTCTTCCTCAGGTGAAACTGGGCAAGGATGGGTTAGATGTAGGGCAATGATGTCATTTATTGTATGAACGGGGACACTGCTGAGAGTGAAAATAGGATGCTGGGACAAGAGGAACAAGCCAGGACACACAGCCACTCCAGATAGAGCCCTGAGGGGGTTCTGGGTCCAGAAGTATTCCTGGAATGAAGGACACGAAAACAATTCCTCATCCCATTAAGGAAACCTGTGGGCAGCGTGTAGTCCAGGGGCAGACATCCCAAGGGACAGCAGTGCAAGGGCAAAGCATGCTTATTGATTGAAGGGACTTCGAAGCCAAGAAGAATGCTGGGGTCCCCCAAGTTCTCACTATTTCATGGGGCACAGCTGAACTCACCATGAGTAGCACCCCAAGAGAGAAATCTCAACCCTGTGGGCTTTAGGGACTTATTCAGAAATTAGGAGGAGAAGGAAGGCATCTAACTGGTCATGTAATAATAGAAATGTTCTGGTAGGAGGATGGAATTCCTGCGGGGAGGGGCTGGGCAAGTCAACATCATTAGCCCAGGAGAAGAATTATCCTATTGGCACCAGTACCCACAGACCAGCAACCCTTGGTTCTACACAGCTCATGGCCAGGCTTCACAGGGTTGGGGAGTGGGGGTGGGGAGTAGAGGGGATTGGGACCATCCAGAGACAAAGACTTTTTCTCCTTTAAGTAAGTGATTAGAGAAGAGTGATGGAAAGAAAGAAAAAGGGATTTGGGAACAAGAAAGGATGGGGTAAGAGCCATGGGTCCTGATAGAGACTAATACCTCCCTTTCCTGCCTTAAGCCATTTCCCCATTTTTCTTCTTCCATAGTGGCCCAGAGAGAGGCAGCCTGAGTGACCTCAGCCCCTAGCAGTTTGTGGGACACACAGCCCCAAATGTCCCATATAGGAGAAAAGTCATGAGGTCCATCTTCGACATAGATGTGGGAATGGAGAGCTGGCACTTGAGGCCTCTCTCAAAGCTATACAACAAAAGCACGCTCATACCTAGATGTGTCACATTTTGGGGTGTTAGGAGATGCAGATGGGGATCCCAGGAATGGCTAAGAACCCCAGGTCAGCTCTTAGCATTGCCACTGACCTATGAACGAATGTGTCATCTGCAAACCCACTGACCTCTTCTTAAGCTTTCAGCACCCAGCTCCCTTAACCATGTTCATGGAAATTGCCCGATGCCCATATAGGAAGACTCACAGGATAGAAGGTCACCAAGCGTGGGCAACAATATTAGTTACAATTCACTCTCATGACTTGTGGCAGGCTCCCATGGTTTCCAGGAAGGCAATTTCTGGGCCTCGACACCCCATTCTATGAAACATTATCCATCCCATCTGGACCCCCAAACACAAAGCATTCTCTACCTCAGTTTAGGGTTGGCTGTCCTCCCCTCCCATCTTGAGGACTTTCTTTTCTTGTGCTGTGTCTATGGGTGCTTCACACACCCTACCTCTCTACCTCGCCTTACGATTTATTGTGATAGCATTTGGCTGTACCCTGAATCACCTCCCTCCAACAGACGACATACCCTCCGCTCACCACAGCCCTTCCTACATTCCCAACTACATGTCTTTCTCCTCCATGTCCATCCATTGTCTTTCCCGCTGTTGCACTTGGACTCCTTGAGGGCTTCTTGGGGGAGATAGGGTCCCAGAGATGAGTGAATGGATCTGTACGTCAGCAAGGAGGGCCTGAAAGTGAGCCCACAGCCATGACTGTCTCCTCAGAAGTTTCAGCAGCTTGCTCTAACTTGTGTCAGCTGTTCTCTGTGAGTGTGAGTGGTGGTCTCGACAGGAAGACTGCATTCCAGGGCTTCCCGTGGACTCAGCTCCCTACCACATCCTGACCAGACTTGCTGACATAGGAAGTGGCTTTTACAGTCGTGACTTGATGGGGATCCTGGGCGTGACCCCTCTTGTCCAAGTTCTAGTCCACTTCAGCAATGACAACTCAGCCCTCTACACCCTCACTCCCATGGCGAGGCTAGGTCTTGACCAGATCTTGGGCTCATAGACGCTCTGGGTGGTAAAGAAGCATAAATTGTAGAGTCTTGAATACCTCCCCCTCCCCCACTTATGCTTGCCCTGTCCTGGGACAGAGAACTCTTGACTTGTGTGGGTAGGCCATTTCATCACTGGACAGCTCTATGAAGAATATTGTCCTAACTGGGTATCCAGAAAACCCTTTGTAGCGCCTCATTAGTCATAATTACTTTCCTATGAGAGTTCTTCCTAAGACAACTAGCATGGCCACCTCCAGCCAAGAGTCCACAAATCTATAAGACACAGAATAAACAGAAGCTT